TTGAGGTTGATATGCCGTAAAACAAACCAAACCAAAATTCTAAGTTGCTTGCATAAAAAGATGTCTAATGGCAGAAACAAATCACATGACTTAATCTATTGTGTTCACCTGACACTCTCAGTCTTGTTTTCCCACTAGCCTGGGTCATCTACTTTCTGCTGACCTTTTATATGAGAATATCTTGTAGACAGAAATAAAAGTGAAAAAAAAGATTTAGATTAGCAAAAGTTAAATGGAATGTCATAATTTCCGTAATTAATTTATTTTCAATATCTTTCACTCTAACTTTTTTTCTTTTTTCTATGAAGACTTACAAATAATACAAACTTGTTCACGCATAGATGCTGAACTGATTCTTTTAATAGAATTATTGACAACGAAAGAACAAATAAATGAATCAAACCAAGTTTTAAATAAAAACATAACCTGAAGCCCTTGAGTTAATTTTACAGAACAAATCAATATAAACTCTTGGTAGAATGACAAAAAAAAAAGATTCCTTGCCATAAAAATGTGTTGAAAACTTTGATTAAAAAAAAAACAAAATTTCCTATTCATACTTGTTCATTTACTTTGCTGATATCTTGCTGGTGTGGCCAGCCAATCATATTGTTTACAATTATAAACATTGTTGCCAATGGAGACCAATTAAAATTGTTTGTCGTTGGAGAGAATGTCAAGAGTTGCAACATAAAATCTGCAAATCCAGGAATAATTTTCAAACTTAACTGAGTTGAGACACAAGAACATCAAGTTTAATGGTTGTTCTAAAATTGATAACCTGATCACTTTCTACTGTTATCAGACTGTTCAGTTATTAAAACAGTTTTTGTTTTGATTTCAAGTTACTCAACAAATATAGTAAATAAAAAAATCTCATGCCATCTTGGCTTTTACTGTTAATCCTAAACCAATAAAAGCATATATTCATTCCTTGTCAATGGCAGAGAATGCCAAATCTAATAACTAAATTTTAAGATGTGAGAATTTGAGACATTCTTTACACTTTATGATGGGACTGGAGCAACAATATTATCAGCAGTAAAACTCAGAAGTGCAGCAATCTAACTTACACTGTTCAGTATAGTTTTGTCATATATATATATATATATATATATATATATATATATATATATATATATATCTTTTAATCCTCTCAAATTTGATAGGATTAGAATAAAAATAATAGACATATGCCTAGATGATTCAACCAAACATGCTTCAGTGAAGATATACTGACCAAATATATATATATATATATATATATATAAGTGGACATTGAGGTCAATACCCAGCTGCTTACATACACTATATCCCTGATATTGAGCACTTTAAAATATAGCATACCATATAAATATATATATACCTATATATATATATATATATATATATATATAAAATGGAGGCTGGTAACAGCCATGGTTAAAAGGTGCAATCAAAAAAGCACTATTTAAAAAATTGGGGTTGTAGAACAAAATTGTAATCAGAACACCAAAACTCAAGCTACCATGCCACCTAGGTTTTGAATATTAGGCCTACTCAGGCAGGCAGGATCTTGTATTATTTTATATATATATATATATATATATATATATATATATATAACATACACACATACACATCGGTCCTTTATGATGACTGTGAAACACAAAAGTCCTTGCTCAAAAATAACAAAATATGAAGTTTGGACAGTTTATCCACAACTTCAAACACAAAAACACCTTACACAAAAATTGGAAAAATACAACAAAAATTAAACGGACAAACATTGTCGGTTCTTTTTAATCAAAATTTGTGCGGATAAATACTTGCTGCCTAAATAAAATGTTTGAGTTGTTATTATGGTAATAGGAAATAATGTTAGATTAAAAAATTTGTTTAAAAATAATTGTTTATATTTTGGATATGAAACTAAGCTGCGAATTTGTTAAATAGGTAATTAAAACCTTGCTCTATCAGAATAGCCTCCCTTGGTGAAACTGGTAATGGCTATAGAAGTGGTTTCCTTTATGGAAAAAAGGCTGCAGTTTCAATTCTTGTCAGGAGAAGCAATTTTTCTTTAGTAGGTTTTCTCGATTTAGACCGGTTGTTATTAATTTCACTGTTTAAGAAATTTTAAAAAACAACAGGGATAGCAACAGAAACACATGTAACAACTAAAATAATGTTTATGGTTTTATATATTTGGTTGGATTGATGTGAGTTTGTGACCCTGGGTTTCAAGCTTTTGCAATCATCAGACAAACTGATTAATTTTTTAAAAATTTTTTGGGTTTATGTAGATTGCGTGTATTGGTGTTATTATGGGAGTGGGGGGAATTGTCATCGTGATGTCATGTTAGCTCTATCTGTGATATTGAGTGCTTTCTAATAAGTACTGCACATATAATATATAAATAATTTATATATATATATATATATATATATACACACACACACACACACTTTTCACATATATATATATATATATATATATAAAGGAAAAAAGACAGAAAAACTGTATGTAGTTTTAACTGACACATTTCATCCATTGTGGTCTTTTTCAAGACAAAAAGCGAAATGAATTATCTATAAACAAAACACAGTTGTTAGTAATTAGAAGAATTAAAAAACACTATCATATATTCATTGGATCAACTGAAAAATTACATCATTCTCTTTTTATGTTTGATGAGAGGTTTTTCACATGCAAAAATATTGTTTGTATTGTTGTGTTGATGGATTCAGCCATTTTCTTTTGATTTCTTGATATATTTGTTGTGTATTTTGGCTTGGGTGAATTGTTAAGAAAGGTGGGATTAGGAAAAAAAACTTGGTGTGTATATTAATAATTGGATAATATTCAATGGAAGAGTTTCCTTCTGAGCAAATTATTTTCTTTTTTTATGAGTGTAGCTTTTTTTTAAAATACAAATTCTAGTTGAATTTATTTCTAGGTATAACCAGTGCATTTGTCAAATTGTTATTTGTGAAGTGCCTTTTGTGCTCATAGATGTGTTTTTTAAATTTCTGCATGTTTCTCCAATGAGTTCTTGCTTGTTTATTTTTACAGTTGAGAGAAAGTGGTCCATTCAAAAACATTCTACCTCCAAATTCTTCCTATTTTGGATACAAAGACGACGCATTACTAATATATCCACAAAATACTAATTTAACAGATCTTGTTAACCAACTTAACAACATTGAACCTACAATAGACTTCCCCTTTAAAACTGAAACCAACCGCACTCTTCCCTTCCGAGATGTCATGTTACACAAAAACAACCTGATCAGTTTCTACTCAAACCACTCCTCTAAAATTATATATGGAATAATTATAGGTTTCTTTTTAAGAGCATTAAGAATTTGCAGCCCCCAATATTTACCCAAAGAAGAAACATATATAGAAAAACACATTCAAAAACCTACAATACCAATATTATTTCATCCACAATGCAAGAAGAATGGCATACAAAATATACAAATAACAACATCATCCATAATAATAAATTATACAAGAACAGATGCATAATACTACCAACCAATTCCATAATGTCCACTATCCAGAACAACCTATCCCATCTAAACGACATCCAAATGATCACAAAGATTTCCAAAATCATTATGGATATAATCAGATCTACAAACACCCATAATAATGTTTCTCAAGCAGGCATATATAAAATAAATAGCTAAGACTGTTTCTCACAATACATTGGAGAAACATGCAGAAATTTTAAAAAATGCATCCATAAGCACAAAAGAAACCTTATAAATAACAATTTGACAAATGCACTTGTCATACATATAAATAAATTCAAGCACAATCTTGATTTAAAAAAAAAAATACACTCATAAAAAGAAAATAATTTACTCAGAAGGAAGATCCTTGAAAGTGCCAACATTGAATATTATCCAAATATTAATATACACTCCGTTTTCTTCCCAATTTCACCTTTCCCAACAGAATCACTACTCTCCCAAGCCAACATACACAACAAACATATCGAGAAATCAAAAGAAAATGATTGAATCCATTGACGCAACAGTACAAACAATATTTCTACATTTGAAAAAAAAATACTCTTTATTCTAGTTAGTAATGACATTTTGTTTTTTGTTTATAGAAACTTTGTTTTAATAAATTCATTTTGTTTTTGCTTTGAAAAAGTCCACTTTGGACAAAATGCCTTGACTAAAACTACATACAGTTTTCCTATTGTCTTTTTTTTCTTCATACATCTTGCCTTTTTCTACAGATTAATTCTGGGAATTTTTTTACATATATAGGATGTGTGGGTTGTGTAACAGTTATTGGTGCAGAAAGGGAAATTGCCAAACTGAGTTTAAAATCTGGTCAATTCTATTTTATTCACTTAATGCTAACCTTGAAAACATCATGAATTCATATTCCTTCAGTTATAGGCTGAATATACTTAAATAGTATCCAGTCTTACAGAAGGAAAACTCTGAATTCAAACTATAGGAGGGCTTTTTGGTGTCTTTGTGGCAAACTGGGTACCATTTCTCTGTTCTCAGTTCTTCTGAAAGGTGTGGTAGATTCTATACAAATCTTTTCTATGATAATCATCTATGTAGATAATCTGAACTGTGGGCCCACAGGTGTATTCCATGAAAAAAAATTTCTTTAAAAATGGGTTAGCAAGTAGACAAAGAATATGACCAAATACTTTTTCATCATTTTACTAGTGGTCTATTGATGTACCTACCTACTTATAATTTCTCATATTTCTAAAGTATATCTTAGCAGCTAACATGACGAAATTGGAAATAAAAAGATTATTTTGTGATAATCTTCCAAGTTGGGAGAGTCTTCTTGCCTTGTAAATCAGCTTTTGAAATCTTAGCTTTTAACTGGGCTTGACCACTGTCAGCAGTAGCAAATATGCAACTCTCAAGAAGAATGAAAACTATTGTACTTTTCTAATCTGTTTTTCTTAGCTTTATTTTTTGCTTTCTCTGTTAATGTTACTTTATTGTTTTATGATTGTCTTTTGCAGTGATGACTACCGTACAATGCGACATTCAATCATTGACATGGTGTTGGCAACAGAAATGACAAAACATTTTGAACATGTTTCAAAGTTCAACAATTGTATCAACAAAGTTTTACCCAAAGCTTCTGATGGCTCACCAATGGTAAATCACTTACACCAATCTTGATTTTTTTTTTCTCTTCATCTTTTTTTTTTTTTTTTTTTTAATATTATTTCCTTCGTCTTCTTTTATATTTTTTCAAGGTGTACACTAAAATATTTATACATGTTTTTTTTTACTTTTCTGCAATTAAACTTATTAAAGACTTATTTAATTGATATGATGCTTCTGGATTTCTTGTTAGTAAAAACATTCGAATGGCTTTGGGTATGTCCTGTGGATGCCCAATAAAAGAGTACCTCAAGTTCTGCTGCTCTGTGTGTTCCCAGCTAAAAGATTCTAGTAATAAAAGAATTGAAAGGAGATACATCTCTCAGTGCCTTGCAGAATGCAGTGACAGGCTATGATTGTGGCCTTAAGTTACATATATCATAGCCAATCATATGTCAGGGGAAAGAGGATAACAATATATAACTGGATTTGTGAAAATTACTGACCTCATAAGTCCTCACTATCATGAGTTGAATTATGAAAGTATTGTTCAGTATGTTTTTAACCTCATCCATTTCTAACATTTTCAGAAGATTGTGACACAAAATGATTTAATAAGCACCACATTGTATTTCATTAATTATTCTGTCTCTTGCTTCATCATCATTGTGAGCATGGGATATATTTTCTAATTGCCATAAAATATGCCTGATTTAATTTTAAAAGATCTTCAGTAATCAACCAGCACCCTTGATTATAATCAGGTTGAAAGTGTTTTTTTTATCTTTGTTGTTGTTGTCAGGATGCCTCAACGAACCTTTTCAGGAGAAACACTAAATTAAACACATCTTAACATTTTATTTATTTATTTTTTTTTAGTAATGCAAACCTTCAAATTTTCTCTATATATACTATTTTCTGAATGATAGTTTTTTAATTAAAAAATATGACTAGTTTCTTAATAAAAATTTTGGACTTTTAATTGTGGATGTCACTCTTTACATATCTGCTCTGAAGTAAAATCTTTACATGACTAGTGAGACTGGAACTAAGAGTACTATATATATATATATATATATATATATATATATATAGCATATCTTCATTCAAACCTGTTTCATTGAATAATATAGACATATTGTATCTACTTTATACTGATCCTTTGCAATTGTCTAATCAGTTTCTTGATCTTAAAATGAAATTCATCAACTACACCTTTCAAGAAACTTATTAGACAACTGGAGAGGATCAGTATAAAGTAGACACAATATGTCTGTATTATTCAATGAAACATATATATATATATATATATATATATATATATATGTAAATAAAATGTTCATACATCTCAAGACTCAGTTTTGCAGAAATTACTCCACTCTTCAGGGATAAGATAAAACAACTGAATCTATTAACAGATATTTAGTTTAAAATACATTACTACATAAAAGCAATTATTTTTATGTCACCAAAATGTTTGTTATTTCTTAAGGGTCCTTATTACATGACATAACATAATCTTATATATTGTTCGTATTAAAAAGATACATCACAAAAGATAAAACTGAATCAAAGTCAAGAACATATGCTTTTTGAAATTAAATTATTTTTATAACTTGATTCTTTTTTTTTTGCTTTCAGTTCATATAAACAAACCCAGCAAATATAGAACTACTTTCTGGTCATGTGCATGCTGACAAATTTCTTTTGTTTATTTTATGCTCTGCACAAACAATACCTTTATCAGTTTTACTACTCCTATGTTGTTAATCCTTTTGAGATTATTTTCCATTCTTTAGTCAGATTTCAAATGGTATTCAGGAGTCATATTTTTTCTCTTGTTTCCACAGATTTTTTTTTTTTTTTTAACTTTGAGTAGATCCTTGGATTCACTTCAGCCAAAAATTGTTGTGCAAAGAGAATATTTTCTCTCTAGTTCATACCATTTGAAATCTTATGTTAAATAAAGAACTGATTAGAGTGAATGAGAAAACATCATTTGTTTTGTATTGATTTTGAAAATCCTGTAAAAAAAAAAAAAAAAAATCTAATTGTGTTTTTTTGTCTTTTGTTGTCTTCTTAGCGATTGTAGTGTTACTTCAATGTTGTTCAATGACTTCAATGTAAAAATAATCATCCAAGACCATGTACACTTAGTGTGTGTATGTATATATGTGTGTGTGTGTCTGATTATTTTCGCTCACAGATGCATGCTTGTGTGTGTGTTGGATAGCTTACATGCACACACTTGCTGAGAGTTATTTTGAAGATTTACATAAACTTGTATGGTCACATGACCAAGTGGTTACAATGTTTGCTTTCTGACCATGAGACCAGAGTTCAAATCTCGATATGATCAATTGATCAAGAAACTGACTTTTTGATATTATTGACCTTGGGAGGTGATCCCATTGTGTGGTCCTTTTGGAAAGTCCCTGAAAACCAAACCCTGGGTTTATGCAAGTCTTGCGAATGAAGTTGGAACTGTTCATCAATGATTTATGCTAGCATGAAATCATAAAACATTGTAACCAAAGATTTTGGTGTACTGGGCTTATTGAAACTGTTGATCATGCTAGATGATGCACTCTCTCCCAGAAACTGTCACTAAGTTCTGCTCAGCCTAGTTGCAGTATAAACCACAGCTGGGCCTCTGTGGGTGTTGAACAAATACTAATGTACCTTAGCAGAAATCTGTAAATGTGATGACTGGCTGTCCTAGCAAACAGACATACTCAGAAATGAGTAGCTAGCTATTATGGACTTGTATAGATATATAGATACATATATACACACGCACGCACACACACACACACACACAATCTGTGTGCATACATCTGTATCTCTCTATATATGTTTATGTGTGAGTATGTGTGTGTATATATATATATATATATATATATTGGGAAAAGTATGAATCTCTCTCTCCACCCTCTTCTATCACTTAAATAACAGAGCAGACTGGTCTCTCTAGCTATGATTGTCAACCAGTCTAGGAGAAGGATAATCCTGAATTCAAAACCATAACAACTGTCCATGATCCTCAACCCTCAGCAATAAAGATGGGGAGAAACAAAAAAGTATAGTGTGTATATATATATATATATATATATATATATATATATATACACAATACCATATATTTTATTTTGATATATGCCAGAAAACTTACCTATGAAATATAAAGAATTTGTTTGTGTATGTGCATATATAAAGTGTTAATACATATATTCTTACATAGACGTAGATAAGTTTGCATACTTCTTTACACACACACACACACACAAAAACATGCACACATATTGTATGTATATAGATATATTAATTAATATATAATATTTTACTTTGGTGTTTTTTTTTTTTTTCTTCACTCCAATGTGGGAACAGTATTTTGAAACTATATAATTTGAAATTCACATTTTTGGTTTCTTCTTTTCTTGCTTCATTCCTGATTCTTCATCTTCTTCTTAGATTAAAACTCTTTCTTTCTTTTCACTGGCCATCAGTCAAGGCAGCTGAGGTTAAAAGTTGGCTGTCTCGTCTGGCCCGGTAGCTCCAAGGTAGGCGAATTACACCTTGTCCACACTGGACAATTCTAATTAATTATCTAATTTACACTGTAGGTAAATGTTGCACTTCTGTCATGTCAATTTCTTATTTTAAAAAACACTTTATCTCATTTGTCTTTCTCTGTTTGTCATCATCATATTCTTTTTATTATTTACACAGCATGTAGGCATTTTTTCCATATATTTGCTATTTCTGCCTCTTTTGGCTTACAGCTTTTGTCCTTTTTTTTTTTTGGTTAAAAAATAAAACACCATCAAGAATGGATGGACTTTTTTTCTTTTCTTTTTTTACTTGCTTTAATCTCACAATAATATACCTTCCTTTAGGAAATGGCAGTGTATGGTAGTAGGTAAAGGCTTTCTCTTTTTCATGTCATGAGATAGAATCTATATGGCATCGAAACATTTGAAGGTATAATCTTCAATGGCTTTCATGAGCTCACTAAAAACTATTACCAAAGATAATTTATTTCCCATTATTAATCCCTAATTTCACTTTCACCTTGTCTACAAATGAAGATCCACACTTAGTGCCACACAGAAAAAAAATTAAGTTTTAAAATCTTGTAAAACACAAAACAAACTCATATAATCCAAAGTGAATTTGGAATATTTCACAGTTCCTCTGAATATGAAACTAAGGAAATAAACAAGTTACTTGATGTGTAATTAAAAGAGAATCCTTATTGATGAAAATAGGCAATTTGCTAAACAATACAGTATGTATATTTTTACCCAGCTGGAGGTACTTCTAAAATGAAATAGTTAATTGTTTTATCCCCCAAATGGCCAAAAGCTGTGTTGCAAATAAATTGCATTTATTGATTTTCATCCCATTAAGTATACTTCACAAATATAGTGTTAGTGTTAGTACCAGAATTAAAAGATGTGTTAAGTTTCTCTTGAATTAAGTCTGTAACTACAGAACCCGATTAAGAGAAGGTAAACTATAATAGCAAACGAGTGTGAATAATGTTCTTCTCTGAAAGAGCAGTAAAATCCATAGCAGCTACTTAATATAATTTTCTATATATCAATTTATCACAGAATATAGTCAGATATTTGCAACCATTTTCTGTGTATTGTTCATATTGGCCATTAATAATGATAAAAATAAAGGCCTGGTTTACTGACACTTATAGCATGCAAACAGTACTAATTATTGCATCTCTTTGTGTTGAAATTAAGCAAGACTGTCCTTTTCTTGCCTCTTATAAGTGTACAAGCAAGATGTCTCTTCCTTTGCTTCAGACAATAGATTATTTTTACCTAATTGACAGAACCTGAAGTTGCACCTGAAAATCAGAATTTTAACTGAGATTGCTAGTCTGTACTTTCCTTTGAATAATAAAAAATGTTTCAGTACACTCTGGTAGTTTTAAAGTTTATTAAAGATTAATGAAAAGAATTACTTGATTTATTTCAACACAGCCAGTAAAATTGAATCTTAACTTGATTCCCAACAGAAAGCCAATAAATTAA